TTAGGCCCTGTACTGTGCTAGGGAACAAAGAACTTAAAAAAAAACTCGTTAGTATCTGATAAAGTTATCTAAAATGAATCAAATGTTTCCATGTTTTGGAAACTAGGTAAGAATGCTAATGCTTTAATCTGTTTTGATGTGTCAAAAAGGCAGTGGTAAGTTACTCATTTTTAACCAGATGGGAACCAAAATTTTAAGAAGTAAGACACTTCTATTTCCCCACACTTTTCTCTCTGTTTTCTGGAGACAGAGTCTCACTCTGTCACCCAGGCTGCAGTGCAGTGGCATGATCGTGGCTCAATGCAATTTCTACCTCCTGGGTTCAAGTGATTCCCCTGCCTCAGCCTCCCGAGTAGCTGGGATTACAGACATGTACCACCATTCCTGGCTAACTTTTGTATTTTTAATGGAGACGAGATTTTGCCATGTTGGCCAGGCTGGTCTTGAATTCCTGACTTTCAAGTGATCTGCTGTGCCTGGCCCAGTTTTTTCTATAGCTTATAGTTAACAGGGGTGTTACAAGTAGAGTTCCATGATTTCTGTTAGAGTCCAAACATTCTTTCTTCAAGGAAGACAGTGCTGATAATATCAATGAAGAAACCCTAAACTGCCAACCCAAGGCCTGGGCTGACTAAAGTCTTCACGGGTGTTTTGTACAAACAGATAAGCAATGGGAATTACTGTAAATGACCATACTATCTCTTACTCTGAATATGGCAACTAACAAGCCATAGTGCTTCAGTGGAACAGCATGGCCAGGGCTTGCTGGGCCTGCCAAATTGACACAGCCTGTGCAACTGGGTTATTAACTTGGATTTGACTAGAAAAGGATTTGGGGCACTTCCGACTTACATACTAGGAGACGAAATAACAGACTGACCTGTAGACTTGCATGCAGCTGCAGGGCTTCCTGGGCTCCCACCCAGCTGTTGGCCAGAAGCAGCTCTTGGGCACATCTGAGAGCCAGGGAAGCAGACAACTCATCTTCTCCTACGATGCCAGCCAACTCTGCAGCCGTTCTAAGTGATACTGCATCCCCCTTTTTGGCCAAAACTTTGGCTGCATCATAAGCAGAAGTGGCCCCTAAATAGCTATAATAGGAATAAAAATGTGAACAAAATGTCATAAACAGATCTTATATTCCCACTCCATAGAGGATACAATCGTTTCTTTCTGTCCACTTTGCTGCATGTGCCTTCCTGTGGTCCCAGGTTTGTCACTGCCCCTGGTTGTTCCTGTGAAGGCTGAGGCCAGCACAGTTCAGCAGAGTGTATGAGAAACAATATCTTATAGTTTAAGGACATAAGGAAAATGAGAGGGAATGACTCCTCTGCTTGGGTTCAATTCAGCATGGGCTGAGGTTCCTTTATTTGATGTTGTAAGAGATCATCAGAAAAATGCGTAATTTCTGAATCTGCTACTGAGGTTTCTTAAACAGTTCTGGTGATTTTTTTTTTTTTTTTTTTTGAGACAGTCTTACTTTTGTCGCCCAGGCTAGAGAGCAGTGGCATGATCTCGGCTCACTGCAACCTCCACCTCCCAGGTTGAAGTGATTCTCCTGCTTAGATTACAGGCATACGCTGCCACACCTGGCTAATTTTTGTATTTTTAGTAGAGATGGGGTTTCACCATGTTGGTCAGGCTGGTCTTGAACTCCTGACCTTGTTATCCGCTCGCCTCGGCCTCCCAAAGTGCTGGGATTACAGCGTGAGCCACCAGGCCCAGCCAGTTATGGCGATTTCTATAAATAAATCAGGAGGTAGTGCCTGATGAGTCTTATGAAACTGGCTTGAATATACGTATCTTTTAAATAGTTTCTTGCTGCTTCACCTCCACCTCTAAACGTATTACTTGTATTCTTGTCCTGCTCTTCTTGGCAGCAGCTCTTCTATGTTGGACGCACCCCTCCTCTCCTCAGGCTTACCATTTGGCTGCCACAGCATAATGGCCATCTCTTTCTAGGACGGTCCCCCAGCTGAGGTACAAGTCCTTCAGGACTGGGTCCTCTGGGCGCAGCCGGGCCTTGGCAACTGCAATAGCTTCCCTAAAGGCAAGAACAAACATGTTAGCCACTCTGAAAAGGCTCCTCTGTGTATGGCCCTAGTAGCGGCTACAAGACAGGACAAACTATCCCTTTTGAGTTGTCTTTGTTGTTCCAACTTCCTTTAAAAAACTGCACTTGAGGCCAGGCGCGGTGGCTCAAGCCTATAATCCCAGCACTTTGGGAGGCCGAGGCGGGTGGATCACGAGGTCAAGAGATCGAGACCATCCCGGTCAACATGGTGAAACCCCATCTCTACTAAAAATACAAAAAATTAGCTGGGCATGGTGGCGCGTGCCTGTAATCCCCGCTACTCAGGAGGCTGAGGCAGGAGAATTGCCTGAACACAGGAGGCGGAGGTTGCGGTGAGCCGAGATCATGCCATTGCACTCCAGCCTGGGTAACAAGAGCGAAACTCCATCTCAAAAAAAAAAAAAAAACAAAAAAACTGCACTTGCATTATATAGAGAAATTAAAAACATGCTGTGTTTGTTTCCTCACTTAGATCAGCAGTTCTTAAACTGTGGTCTGTGGATTCTTAGGGGTCCTCAAGACCCTTTCAGGGTATTAATGAGGTTAAAACTATTTTTGTAACAATGCTAAGAGTAAGTGATGTGCCTTTTTTTTTTTTTTTTTTTTTTTTTTTCTTTTTGAGATGGAGTCTTGCTCTGTTGCCCAGGCTGGAGTGCAGTGGTACAATCTCAGCTCACTGCAACCTCTGCCTCCCAGGTTCAGGTGATTCTCCTGCCTCAGTCTCCCAAGTAGCTGAGACTACAGGCACGCGCCACCACACCTGGCTAATTTTTTGTATTTTCAGTAGAGACAGGGTTTCACTGTGTTAGCCAGGATGGTCTTGATCTCCCGACCTTCTGATCTGCCTGCTGCGGCCTCCCAAAGTGCCAGGATTACAGGCATGAGCGGCCGTGCCTTTTTATTTAAAATAAAAAAACCTGTGTTGACATTTGCAGTGATTGTGCAAAAGCAATGGTTGGTAAATTCTGGCATTTAAAAAAGAAGGCAGTGGCTCTTACAGTGGGAAAAAAAGAGAAATGCACTAGATGAAGTAGTAAAAATTACTAATTTTACTAAATCCCTCAAGTCCAAAACACGTTAATATTCTGTGTGACAAATGGGAAGAACATTTTGTGTTCTTTGCTGCATTCCAAAGTAGGACGACTGTCTCTAAGAAGCACCTGTATGAATGAATTGCAAGCTACACTGGAAAAGAAAAAAAAATGAACACAGTAGGCCTACCACTTCAGAAAAAACAACCAACAGTATTTGTTACTAATGATAAACTGTGAGTTTTCCAGCAAAAATTAGAATTTTAGAAATCTTGTACCTACCACTTGTGAGTTTGACATTTTCCCATAAGTTAGAATTTTTCTGATGAGACTGATAGTGGTAATAAGGAACATGATACTTTAGGGTATTTTATAACGAGATATGTTAACATTTGGAAGATCTATACAACTCAGTAAATGAATATTTTTCAAATGACATACAACTGCTGAGGTGTAGCCAACATAAAGTTGTAGCTGGAAAAAAGTGTTTTATTAGATGAAAGCGATCTAGAGAGAGCAGTATCTTGAAAGTATTTTGGGACTTCTATTTCCAACCATGATGGAATAACTGGGACCAGACCCACCTTACTGCCATAAAACTAAAAAACTGGACAAAATGTCTGAAACAACTGTTCTCAGACGCTGCAGGCAGCACAGGACTGTTACCCCTAGGAGAACAGAAACTAACAACGTGAGCCCTATCTTGGCACTGGCTTTCTGCCTAAAGCCATTTTCTTAAGGAAAGCCCCAAAAAACCTCAGCAGTCTCTGACTTGAGAAGAGGGAACAGTGGAAATCTGAGGGGCAGCAGACTAGGAAGGAGGAAGCTGTCCAGACAAAGATATCCACAACTCTGCCTGGGGATCCCAGTAAGTCTTTGGCTAAATTCAAAGCCATATGTACAGGAAACTCCTTAAGTGTAAACAAAGAATGACTATGGAATTGTAAGCTGAACAATTCCCAGACATGACTCAGCACTTGGAGACATCTGAGTTTTGATTTGTTGAATGCATAAGGCATTCAATAAAGATACCAGAATGTAGGAGGTCCAAACTAATTCTAGAATATGATAAACCTGCCCTAACAAAATATAAAAACAAGCCATGAAAAGATCAAGCTGATGCCCAACTTTATTACTTGCCAAAACAAAGTTCATACTCTCTACAGGAAGACAACAAAAGCAAAGCAGGGTAGAACAAAAAGAAAATCTTGACCAAGTGCGGTGGCTCATGCCTGTAATCCCAGCACTCTGGGAGGCTGAGGCAGGAAGATTGCTTGAGCCCAGGAGTTGGAAATCAGTTTCAACACAGTAAGACTCTGTCCCTACAAAAAGCTAAAAAATTAGCTGGACGTGGTGGCACGCACCTCCTGAGTAGTCCAGTTACTCAGGGGTTGAGGCAGGAGGACTGCTTGATCCCAGGAGGTCAAAGCTACAGTGAGCTGTGACTGTGTCACTGCACTCCAGCCTGGGCAACACAACAAGACCCTGTCTCAGGCAAAGAAAAAAAAAAGAGAAAATCTCACCAAAGCACATCATATCAAATTACTGAAAAATTACTGATGGAGAAAAAGTCCTAAGCCTAGACAAATAAAAAATGCAAAATAACAGAGATAAAATCAGTGCAATAGCCAAGTCAAACACAAAGCAAGCCAAGAGAATGAAATGACTGACATCTCTGAAGTGCTGAAACAGAAAAACTTCCAATCTAGAATCCTATACCCTGTGAAATAATCTCTGAAATAATCTCAAAGTGAAATTATAGACTTTTATAGAAAAAAAAAAGTTGAAGTTCTTCAGGTGAAGGAATTGACAGTAACTGAAAACTTGGACCTACACAAAGAATGAAAAGTGCTGAAATAATAAGCTTGTAGGTAAATGTAAAAAAATGTTTAAAGATCCTTTTGTAGTTCACGAGTGTGATGACTGGGTACTCACACGCTCGTGTGAGATGTGCCACCCTTGCACCTTGTTACGAAGTCGGCACATTATCCATCGGATATGGACTTGGAAAAAAATACATATATAAAAAAAATTTATGAAAAATGTTGTTTAAAGAGCCTGTGAGGAGAGGCTGCAGTAAGCTATGATCTTGCCGCTGTATTCCAGCCTGGGCAAAAGAGCAAGACCTTGTCTGACCAAAAATAAGCATCAACTGTTTAAAGCAGGTGCCCCCAAACTGCGGCCCCCTGCCGCACCTCTTTCATTGGTGGTCAGTGAGAGGAGCACAGTATGTGGCGGCCCTCCAACGGTCTGAGGGACAGTGAACTGGCCCCTGTGTAAAAAGTTTGGGGACACCTGGTTTAAAGCAAAAATACTAATAGTATAATGTGTGGTTATAACATGTATCTAATATACCAAATACATGACGAAAGGAGAAAGGATGGAGTAAAAAGTATACTATTATATATAAAAAGTGATATAATATTATTTAGAAATAAACTGATAAATTAAAATACTCTACTAAAACTACAAAAATCAGCTGGGCGTGGTGGCGTGAACCTGTAGTTCCAGCTGCTCAGGAGGCTGAGGCAGTGGAATGGCTTGAACCCGGGAGGTGGAGGTTGCAGTGAGCCAAGATTGTGCCACTGCACTCCAGCCTGGTAACAGAGTAAGAGTCTTTTTCAAAAAAAGAAAAAAAACTACTCAGGCTGCCAGGCATAGTAGCTCACACCCATAATCACATAATCCCAGCTCTTAGGGAGGCAGAGGCTGATCTTGAACTCGGGCTCAAGCCATCTGTCCACTTCGGCCTCCCAAAGTGCTGGGATTACAGGCATGAGCCACGACACCTGGCCAATGTTACTTCCAAAAGAAATGTTAAACTTGAGAGTACATGAAAAGTTTTTGGGGTGTCTGGCAAGATTCAGCTTCACTTCAAAGCTGGGAATTAAAAAGGGAGTTCCTCTTGTAACAGTTCCTTAAGCTGTCCTTTTGTTTCATGCTATTTCTTCTATTTATGTTACTTTAACAATAGAGAAGTTTAGATCATTTTCACATTATGTCCAAGTATTTATTATCCCAACTCTAAGACCACACAGACCTGTAAAAATGGTTTGACTTGAGCAGCGCCACAGCTTCATACACTTTGTGGATGGAAAGTAGGTGAGAAGCAGCCTTGACATACTGATCCTGAAAACATAGCTGTTTGGCAAAAGCTTCCACAGCCCAGAGCCACACGTGGTAGCCAGCTGAAAAAATACAAGATGGTGGTTAAAAAAAATGTTGAAGAAAAAGTAAAAACAAAACCAAGTACATCTGGGTTGAAAAAGGCTTGTTTTCAGTCAATGCATTCAGCTGAACATTTAGATACCAATTCAGCTACCACTACAGATCATCTGCTTCATCTACACATTCTGAAACACCAGCTGTTTGATTATGCAACACAAACAAAACAGTACAAAGTTGAAAAGATACAGAAAGCAATGTGTGAGCACAGTTAGATAAATTCCAGTAATCAGAATTGATGAGCCAAACATGCTTACATGCTTTTTTCCTTTTGAGACAGAGTCTCACTCTATCGCCAGGCTGGAGTGCAGTGGCGCGATCCTGGCTCACTGCAACTTCCATTTTCGGTTTCAAGCAATTCTCCTGCCTCAGCCTCCCGAGTAGCTGGGACAACAGGCACACACCACCACGCCCGGCTAATTTTTTGTACTTTTAGTAGAGACGGGGGTTTCAACATGTTGACCAGGACGGTCTCAATCTCTTGACCTCGTGATCTGCCTGCCTTGGCCTCCCAAAGTGCTGGGATTACAGGTGTTAGCCACTGCGCCCGGCCTTTTTTTCTTTTCTTTGAGACAGGGTCTTGCTCTGTTGTTCAGGCTGGAGCACAGTGGCATAATCATGACTCACTATAGCCTTAACCTCTCCATGCTTGGGTGATCCTCCCACCACAGCCTCCCAAGTATCTGGAACTGCAGGTACAGGCCACTATGCCCAGGTAAGTTTTGTATTTTCTGTAGAGATGGGATTTTGCAATGTTGCCCAGGCTGGTCTCAACTCTGAGGCTCAAGCAACCTGCCCACCTTGGCTTCCTGAAATGCTGGGATTATAGGCATGAGTTACTGCACTCAGCATTTTTTTTTTTTTTTAAAAGAGACAAGGTCTCATGATGTCGCCCAGGACAGAGTACAGTGGCTATTCACAGGCACAATTAACAGTACCCTATGGGTTTGAACACCTAGCATTAAGCAATCTTCCTGCCTCAGCCTCCTGAGCAGCTGAGGACTTCAGACTTGTGCCATTGCATCTTTAAAATTTATCAGACATGGCCAAATTGTCCTTTGAGAAATTCTCAGCAATTATGCTTTTGCCATTGAAGTGTCAGTGACCTGCCTTTTTTTTAAAGGGGTTGGGTTGATTTATTAGTTTGTCTATTGCTGCAAACAGGATTAGCTTTGTGCCTGTTCGTAAGTGATTCTTTTTTTTTTGAGATGGAGTCTCACTCTGTCACACAGGCTGGAGTGCAGTAGCACAATCTTGGCTCACCACAACCTCCTTCTCCAGAGTTCAAGCGATTCTCCTGCCTCAGCCTCTCCTGTAGCTTGGATTACAGGCGTTTGCCACCATGCCTGGCTAATTTCTGCATTTTAAGTAGAGACGCGGTTTCACTATATTGGCCAGGCTTGTCTCAAGCTCCTGACCTCAAGTGATCCGCCCACCTCGGCCTCCCAGAGAGCTGGGATTGCAGGCGTGAGCCACAGCGCCCAGGCTTCGTGAGGTTTCAAGCTTGAGACTGATACAGCTAACAGCCATCTTGAATGGAGGTATCCTAGAGATGATAGAGCTTTTGTGGAAAAGAATAAACAAACAAAAACCATACCTGCTGGTGCCATAGCCACAAGGTTGTCTGTCAGCTCCCCTCTTTCTGCTGCAGTCTGGAGAACACCTTTGAGATCTCCTTTCCAAAGCATAAGCTGGTGAAATAACTCAGGGTGGCCATTTTCTAAGTGACCTTTTCCTGTTTGAAAGAGAGATAATGTTTGGAAGGTGTTTCAGAAACATCTGTCACCGACTTGTAGAAAAAGAAAGGTAAGACAGAAGAGAAAGCGAGCTCCTAAAATAAGCAGTCACTCTCTGATGGGTGTGTCACCTACCAGAGTGATTACAATGGGACCTGAAGCCCACTCGGTCACTGTGCACTACCCACCTTCACTTGCATTCAGAGTGAATGCCGTATGTTTAGGATCCTACGATGATGCAAGGGACATATCAACATGTAAGTCAGGGAGCTCAAAACCTAGTTAGTTGACATGTAAAACTAACCATTATATAATATCACAGGATGGTAGCCGTAAAAAAGGTGCACACGAAATTTAAGTATACAGATGGATGGGATTATGCTGACTGGATTTGCCTCACCTTCAATATCAATCATTCTGTACAGGGTAGCCCTGTCTGTGAAAAGCCCTAGATGAAATCTTTCCTCAAGATCAGCAGACACATCTTCATTCAGCTCTGTTAATTTAAAAAGGCAAAAAAAATCAGATGAAGTCATTACACAGGTTACAGTTTTCTGTCCAATAACTTCTAAATATATGTCTGGAACACCCACTTCAGACACTGAGAGAATCAGAGTTCTAACAGAGACTCTTGCAGTTATGAAGGGAGCAACACACAAAAACACTTATAACCTTAAAAGTGAACCCAATCGGCACGTATTTAAGTGCTGTAAAAAAACAAGCAAAGGGCCGGGTGTGGTGGCTCAAGTCTATAATCTCAGCACTTTGGGAGGCCGAGGCAGGCGGATCACCTGAGATTGGGAGTTCAAGACCAGCATAACAAACATGGAGAAACCCTGTCCCTATTAAAAATACAAAATTAGCTGGGCATGGTGGTGCATGCCTGTAATCCCAGCTACTCCGGAGGCTGAGGTAGGAGAATCACTTGAATCCGGGAGGCGGAGTTTGTGGTGAGCCAAGATTGCGCCACTGCACTCCAGCCTGGGCAACAATAGCCAAACTTTGTCTCAAAAAAAAAAAAAAAAAAAAAAAAAAGGCCGGGTGAGGTGGTTCAAGCCTGTAATCCCAGCACTTTGGGAGGCCGAGGTGGGCGGATCATGAGGTCAAGAGATTGAGACCATCCTGGCCAACATAGTGAAAGCCTGCCTCTACTAAAATACAAAAATTAGCTGGGAGTGGTGAAGCGTGCCAGTAGTCCCAGCTACTCGGGAGGCTGAGGCAGAAGAATTGCTTGAAGCCGGGAGGCAGAGGTTGCAGTGAGGCAAGATCATGCCACTGCACTCCAGCCTGGTGCCTGGCGAAAGAGCAAGACTCTGTCTCAAAAAAAAAAAAAAAAAAAAAAAAAAAAAAACCAGCAAAATGAAATTAATAAGTAAATGAAAGTCCTTAGTATTCACTGGGACTTAGCACAAGAGGATTCAATATTCATCCTTTGCTTTAAAAATAAAGTCAACTGAGTAATTTTTCAGTAAGGAAAATAATGTGAAACTATAAGGTTAACTATGTAAGTTATAGGAAGTCATCACAAAGCTCCAAAGAGAAGTCTATGTATACAATAAAAGCATAAAATATCTCCAGCAAGACACAAGAAACTGATAATAGTCTGATTACGTAATACAGACAAAACAGCACAAAATTAAAAGGAAATAAAGAAGTGGAAGTCCAGGATAGTGACTACCCTTGTTAGGGTGAGGGGAGACAGTCAGTGGGAGGGAGGATGGTCCTTCCGTTCCTGGAGGAGAGATAGGACTGGGAGGGAGATTTACTTTGAAAAAAATTTTTAAAAATTGGCCCAGGCTGGCCTTGAAGTGATCCTTCTGCTTCAGCCCCTTGAACATCTGGGATAATAGGCACTGTGCCTGGTGAGATTTACTTTCTTTTTTTTTTTTTTTTTTTTTTTTTGAGACGGAGTTTCGCTCTTGTTACCCAGGCTGGAGTGCAATGGCGCGATCTTGGCTCACCGCAACCTCCGCCTCCTGGGTTCAGGCAATTCTCCTGCCTCAGCCTCCTGAGTAGCTGGGATTACAGGCACGTGCCA